TTTCATCATTGGGCGCGAAAAATGAAACGGCGCATTTAATGCACACGACATCCTAAGCCGGGGAAAGCGGCTCGAGGCAATGATGAAGCATTTGTGGTTGTTGGGAAACCCTTCGTCTCCTTACGACGCGTGCCCTCGGTGTCAGAAGATCGAAGGCTGGGGGGCAGTTGATGGGACTTTTCTGAAATACTCCTTGATGAAGACACGTATCCTCGGTTTTTACCAAAATACTGTTGCTAAGATCAAGCACCATCGGCGCATAAAGGTCCTCGCCCCCGAGGTACTCGTCATATAGGATCATGGCATTTCACTACGAGTTACAACCAACATGTAACCTCGGTCTGATATGGTACCTCGGTCAATATACCTCCCTCGGTTCCGAGATGAGCCTTTCCTCGGTGCCGAGAGGTACCCCGTCCTGGACGCTTCCTCTACTCCAGGATAAGCTATTGACGTACAGGTCATTAGCCTAGGCTAGTCTAGGCTATTCATCATGACCTCGTCTTACACAATTAGTGTCAGAACGTACTGGAATGCAGGGGCCACAGCCAATGAGGGATGGACGCGTGGCATATGATATCACATCGAAGACAGAGAAACCGCATGTCGTTGCTGACACGCGACTTGGGAAAGCAAACTATTAATTACACCATTCCCTTGATGAGACCGCATTCAATGCGGTAAGGCTCGGAAATGAAAGGCAATAAATGCTCCTAATACAGAGCATTTATTGCATCCTCCCCGAGAGGAGTACATTGTACCGTCGGCATCCCGATGACCCAGCATTGATTGCTCGGGACCCCGAGCAGTTAAGAAGAGAAGACATTCCTCATCAGAATCAGTGCGCACGCTGCCTGTACCTAATGATCACCTACTGACTACACTGACAGCAATCATGAGCTTTTGAGGTATAAATACTCCTTGCAAAAGGCAAGACGGGTATGCAACAAAAAACTATTTACTACAATACACACTCAGTGTTTTCTCCTTCCTCTCTCTTTCTCAAAGACTGACTAGATCGTTGGAGGGGATACGCCGGAAAACACTCCGGCGCCTTTCTAACTTGTTCTTCTTTGTTCCAGGAACCTCTTTCAGCCCTACTGGATCGTTCTTCCGCTCCCCCAGGGTCTCCCGTTGCCGTTCCAGGTTACCACCGGACCTCGCAGGCTGTTCCAAGCAGCGTGGTTGGTCACTCAACTGGCTCACTCGAGTTCACCAAGGGAGATATCTGTTCTCGTTTTTTATATTTTGCAGGATCTTGCACGCACATCAACCTACATATGTGTGTGTGTGTGTGTTGTTTTTGTAAGTACATATAGGTTTTGTTAAGTTATTTTATACTTGCATATGTAAATTACTACGTGTGTGATTATGGTTAGACCAAGATAGCACAAAAGGGAAAAAAAATAAAGAATAAAAATGTAGAAATTTAAAAAGTTACCCAAGGGACCTTCAAAGTCAAGTTACAAAAAAGTTGTTCTTGCACTATAGCAATGTATAAGGAGAGTTAAATAGTTCGTAGTATTAACTCCACTTTGAAGAGTCTTCTCGATTCATATCGAAATAATAGTTAATAAACAATAATTTGTGTCTCCCATTTTAACCAATAACCTATATTCTAACAATTTGCAATCTGTCATCCCTGATTTAAAATATATTCAGCAAATCAATGTGAAACGGCCATCACGTAGTTGAGTTTTCTGGTAAGTAACTAATTTATTACATAAAGACAACTTAAATGACATGGGTCAATTCACCAATATTAATACACAACCCAATTTGCAAGCATTTTCACTCAAGATTTGGATCAAATTATGGCAATCTGTAATTTGTTTTCATGTGAAATTATGGCAATGCTTGTTATAAAGTTCCTACTATATATATATATCAAATGCCAAAATGAGAGATAAGTAGATACATCTAATAGCTATATAAGTCAGTTTAGAAACCAAATAAATTACTCTCATCAAGAATTTTCATTGTTTGCTAAAAACCAATAGTATTTGAAAACATGAAGAAGTCTGTAATTGTGCCATGCAAGATTGCCCTTCTTCTTGCTATTTTCTTGCTCATCTCCATGTCTTCGGTGATTGAAGGTATATTATATAATCTTAGGAGACTAAAACTATCACTTGTTACTGAATTTCGTGCACCAATTAATCAACTTTAGTACCACTTGTTGCAATTGTTTTCTGCATCTACATCCACAATTACACTGATGTATTATTATTTGATTATCTGATAACTAATTACATGAAATCCAACCCTATTTATAGGGTGAAAAACTAATAAGGTATAGATAAATATAGCAACCACTTGCGTATCCAAAATAACTTGGATATAATTGAATCTTTATTAATTCTATCACATGTCCAAGAAATCTGTTCATAGAATATGATGACACTTTCAATTTCTCTCTTACCGGGGTTCTCACATGTAACTTTCCAGCACCTTCAGTTCTCATTAGGTTTATGGTTTTGTTCTAGCAGCACAAAGTACAAGGGCAGAAGCTCATGGAATTGAAGCTTTTCAGTCGAGTCGGGGCAATGTTTGTGCCATGACAGAAGATGGTTGCTTCGAAGAAGAAGATTCAAATTCATTCGGTGTAGACTATGCACCTGTTCATGCCAAACCTCCTATTCATAATAATCGCTTGCATGGTGAAAATAATTAGTTTTTCAACTAGTTATATTGTCTTAGGGGATCCTTATTCTTCTGGTTATGTTTTGCCAAAAGAAAATTTAGGGTAAGATTTTTCATGTGAAGCAAGGATCTGCAAAAATAAAGTTTATGGCCTTCAAAATCTAGAACAAAACTGGCTTTGTTACATCTAGGGTAATGCTGAAGTTGGAGGTTCAAATTTTGAAATCCATATTGAGACTCGGTGGTTGACTGTTATGCAAACCTAACTAAGTTCGTTCCTGAAAAAAATAACGAGCGAAGTCAGGAATCTCAGGATCCCACCAATGAGAGCCTATCAAGGTAGCTTTTGGGCGGTTTCCTTTGCCCCACCCTTTTTTTGCTTATCAAAAAAAAATGGTATGCGATGACAATAGAATAGGAAGAAAAATATAAAGCAACCCACAAAAATTTATTTGACAAACCCAAGATCAAAAAAAAAAAATTATGGAGTCAAACCAAATCCACTATCAAACAAGTAAAATATAAGGAGAGAACAAACAAAGAGGTTGTTCACCTTTGTTGTACACCGATGGGACTTCAAAACAAATGCAAAGAAATTGCGACAGTACCCTATTCCTATCATCTTCTTGGTATTTTCCCTCAAGGGCATGGTTGAATATCCAATGCTAACTCTACACTACCTTACATTAATAGTTAAGCACCATTTGGAAGCATCTTCTAGCATATCTTTTCGTTTATTGAAGACCACAACCATACAAGGTAAGGCATTGTCCCAAGTCGAAACACTCTACCTTCTTTCTTTCTTTTATTTTCGTGAGAATAAAGCAAGACCATTTTATCATATTCCGGTAGAATTTTAATCAAACGGGTGTCCCAAAGTTTTTAATCAATTATTACAAACCTGTGTTTCCTAGACAGGGCCGGCCCTAGGCATAGGCATCTAAGGTGATTGCCTAGAATCTCTAGTTTTATATGGCCCCAAAAATTATAATCATAGTATTTTAGGCCCAAATTTTATAACTTTGAGTTTTAGGTAGACTTTGAATTTTTAGGCTGTCAAAACCCAACTTAATTTATAATTGGAAAATTTAGAGGTCAGCCTCCCTATATACACTTATTTTGAGATAAGTCCGGCAAAAAATTTTATTTGATTTTAAGTGTACTTTTTATCAAGTTTATTATTGTACCCCTACCATTTGGAAAAGAAATAATCGATGTCTAATTTACCGTCTCCTTCACATAGGTTAAATCATTTAGGTATATATAGAAACTCTTAATTGAATTATATATGGAAACCGTTTATTAAATATTATGATAATTAACGAAATTTTTATATGGAAGTTATATATTCTGATAGTTATATATGGAAGGTTGATAAGAATAAATCGTTAATCAATTAAGTCAAAATCAGATCACAAAATTTCCTTAGCAATTCAAAATTTTCTTAACATTAGAGTTACTATAATGACATTAATTGTATTATAGTGACACAAATGTTACTATAATAACACGAATGAGATTGTTTTCCTTAAAATACTCAATATTCAAAATGAAGAATTCCACCATTTTAAATATTAACAAAAACTCAACCCCAATTTTTACTTACACTACCAATTGCAAACCTTTAGACTATATTATGTAACATACACATTTAATTTTCATAGTAACATCAAAGATTTGTGTTCAGTAATACATCAACTGTTACAAAATACAAGGTAACATGGTTTTTACAGTAATATCAATTTTCAAAAGATTATAGTGAAAATACGATCCACAAATTGAAAATTTACAAAATTTATAATAGTAACACACTATTGACAGTTGAATTATGACACTCAACACCAATTAAGAATATCAAGACATCAAAATTTTGAAATTTATTTTTCAGTTATCACACAGTAACATGATCTATTTCACAGACATGCAACCAAAATATTTCGAATGTCTTGCACAACAAAGAAAACAACAAAATCGAATTATATAATACTTTAATTTAGTAATAATGAATCTCAATTTTAAAATTAGGAATGCAAAAAAAAAACAATGGACAGTTTGAACTATAGATTATGTAGAAATTTAAAATCACATACCTTAACTTTAATTCTGAATTTCAAAGTTGTGAAGATGTTTTAAATGCAAAGAATCAACTGTAACTTTTTCAATGGATTCCACAGTAAAATCGAAATTCGGTTGGGTTTGTGTTGCCATTTGAAATGGTAGAATTTTTCATTTTGGGTATAGAGTATTTTAAGGAAAACAATCACATTCGTGTCACTATAGTAACATTTGTGTCACTATAGTAACATTAGTGTCACTATAATAAAACTAATGTTAAGGAAATTTTATGATCTAATTTTGACTTAATAGACCAACGATTTATTCGTACATCAAGCTTCCATATATAACTATCAGAATATATAACTTTCATACAAAACTTCTGTTAATTATCATAATATTTAATAAGTGATTTCTATATATAATTCAATCAAAGATTTCAATATGTACCTTAATAATCTAACTTATGTGACTTTTCATAACTTGACAAAACTAATACCGTTAGGGATAATTTTTAGATTTAAAAAATAAGTACATTTAAGTACCCATATATAAGTTTAAATATAGATTTACTCTCAAATAAGTTTCCTTTCAAGACTTGAGTCATTATAAGTCCATCTAGGGAGACTCACTCTCAATTTTCACTTTATAACTTGGTTAGGCCTAAAGGTTCTCTCCATTTAGTTAAGCTTAATAAAGTCTTAATAGTTTCATACTTTATATCATGATTGCTTATGTTTTTTGCCCCCAAAAAAGCTAGCCTCCACTCTCTCTCTCTCTCTCTCTCTCTAAACCTTATACAAATGCTCACTCTTAAAACCTTATACGAATAATCTTTAGCACTTGCAATGTAAAATTCATAAATTTTTCCTTATTCTTTTCTTATATAATTTTTATCTTTGAGAGCATATAATTTTTAAGTACATATATTTTTGGTCCATTGTATACAATAAATTTTTATTATTAAACTCTTCATTTATGATGTATGTACTGATATTGATGGCTTAATTTTATTTTCAGGATTAAAAAATTTTAAAAAAACTTTTAAAATTTGAAACTAACATTCCAATTGAAATACTAAACTACATCAAAAAAAGTAATTTTTTTTTTCTCTGAATGCATGCATTGCTTATAAAATTTTGTTAACAATAGTTGCTCCAATAGAAAGGAGCTTTTTAAATTTTAAATTAATATGCCGCAAGCAAAAATTGAATGGATTAACTATACTCTATTATGAAAATTTTGTTGACAAAATTTGAATATAAAAATTGATCAATATTTTTTACATTTCAAAAAATAATAAAATAAATTTTAAAATAATAAAATATTAAATTATAATAATTAAGAAATATTTAATTTTTTAATATTAATAGGGGCCGAGTAAAACTTTTGCCTAAGCCCCCATTTACATTGGGCCACCCTTATTCCTAAATCAAACCCAGATGCGCGTTATAGTAAAAGAGGTATAAAACCATCCCTTGACAATGCTCACCAAATCCTTGTTTCACACTAACTTGCTTAATCTCATGCTTATTCAAACCCTGTTTTTTCTATAAATTCTTATGCAAAGGAAATGATGTTTCCCCATACTACCATGTCCTAAACATTGATTGGTATAGAATATCTACTTAGAAAAAAGTTGGGAAAAAAAAACAAGTATAATGAATACAAATATGAATCAACAGTTGCTAGCGAGTCCAGATTTAGACCAGGCATGGACCCAATTCCTGGGTAAGCCCAAATCAGTTACAAAATAGGTCAAGCCAAGCTCATAGACTCAATCTAGTTCAAAAGTCTAAGAACCACAAGATGATTAGCGTACGTGGGGAGTAATTACTAGGATAACCACTACTCGGAGATCGAGACCGTTATTAATTGTACTTATTTTTAGCTATAGTTATCCTCCCCGAAATATTAGTCACATATTCCTTCACGTCACCGCCTCAACTAAGACTCTGTGCCTATAAATTGTAAACTCTCTCTACACATGAAGGACACCCCTTTTACACACCTCACCGTGAGAGGGGTATCTCTTCACACACCTTACACAACTATCTCTCTCATAGCTATTTTGAGTGTACTCTTGCTCTCACCTTCTCCCACCTACAACTTTACCAATAAAGTTCTCCAGCCACCGTCGCTTTCTTCAAAGTGGAGTAAGTCATCCTGACCGAACCACTATACATCTATGTGTTGCTTATATTGATCTAATATTTGTCTCCTTTATTAATTGATTTATTGATTGCTTCATTAATTATCTTAAATCATACACTCAACAAGTGATGCATAAATCTACTTTTGTGCATCATCAGTTTGGCGTCGTCTGTGGGGAGCAATTTGATTCTTTCCTTATAGTCTTCCTACCTCCAATGGCAACAACCAGATCCATGAACCACCAAGCAGAAGATGACCTGCCATATCACGATAAGGTCTCACCACCATTGACGAAAAGTTGACACATGCAAAATCTACTTTTTCACTAATCTGGGGTTAAAAACTCAAATTCTTTAAGAGCTGCCTTTGGTAGTTTGGATGTCGTAGATATCAAAAAAATACCCGAATTAGAAAAAATCTCCTCAAACAGACAATCGAGCACAAAGTTATAGTCGTTCAAAGTTTCACAATTTCTTCATTATTGTCTAATACTCAACCCAGCATCTCATCGCCACCAGCAGCAGACCCTGCACGAGTGCCAACCCCTTCTCATGTCATCCAGATCCGGTTCCCGTCGCCCAGACTGCTAAGGGCGTTGCCTATATCCTACTAGTGCCCCTAGTGCTTGGCACTGCCTAGCTACTCCCCTGCAAAAGGCGTCGCCCACAACTCCCTGTGTGAAGGCATCGCCCACTACTCCTTACGTGAAGGCGTCGCCACCTAGCTACTAGTTGCATAAAGGCATCGCTTGCCTTGCACCCTGTCTCCTCGCCCCACACGCCTAACACGTCGTCCAGGTTACTGGCATCGCCTAGCCCAAAG